AAAAAAAAAAAAAAAAAAAGGAACAATGCCAGTTTGCAAGCGCAACAAGTCCTTTTAAGAGCTTTCTCTCTGTCACCATTTCCTGCGTCCCGTCCTGAAAGTTGGTGTGTGTTGATCTGTTGTTGTTTTCCCCCGGTCTCCCTCCCGCCCCCCCGCTCGCTCTGAATTGATTCAGCTGCGGAACAAGCTGAACCAGGAGCAGAATGCCAAGCTGCAGCAGCAGCGCGAGTGCCTCAACAAGCGCAACTCGGAGGTGGCCGTCATGGACAAGCGCGTCACGGAGCTGCGCGAGCGCCTCTGGAAGAAGAAGGCAGCCCTGCAGCAGAAGGAGAACGTGCCAGTAAGTGCCGGGCGTTTGCTAATAGCAAAACCCCACAGAACTCTCGCTTCCCTTGCGGCCCCTGGGGTCGGAAGTAGAGGTTTGCATGTGGGAAAGGCTGTTCAAGGAGCTGCGCTTCTCATATTCATCTATATGTGGTGGTCTTGCATTGTTGAAGTACTTTTCACAGCATGTTGGTGTTAATCTACTTTATGGGCAAGCTTATGGCCAAGGACTCTTCTTATGGCTTTTTTCATTATTATTTTAACAACATGTTAGTATGCATTAAAGTCTAAAAGGCTTCACTTCTAATACTGGAATATGACTTTTTTCTATTGCTGCTTTATTGTGCTTGATTTCTGGTTCAAACTCTTTGTATAGATGGATGCTGTAGCATAATATTATTTTTTGTTTTGTTATTTTTTTTAAGGTTTCTTCAGATGGGAATTTGCCCCAGCCGGTGGCTTCTGCTCCAAGTCGAGTGGCAGCAGTAGGTCCTTATATCCAGTCCTCTACTATGCCACGTATCACTTCCAGGCCTGAACTTTTGGTGAAACCAGCATTTTCAGATGGGACACAAGCTCTGCAGATACCTGATGGCCCCCTGAAAACACAAACTCTTCCCAACATGAGAGCTGGAAGCAGTTCACAAGCTAAGGTTCCTGCAGGTAACTTGCAGTTGGTAATCCTTCCCCAGGCCTGTTCTAACTTATCATTATCTTTCTAGCAAAATACTTTTAGGGGTGTTAGTCTTGGGATCTGACACCTCTTGCAGTGAGTGTATCTTCTAAACACCTGAGGTTATGGGATTCAGTGTGTTTTAAATATAATCTTCTTAACAAGTAATTTGAATTGAAAGGAATAGAACATAGGAGGGTTCTTCTGTAAATTAGTGATCCTGCTTTATACTTCTAACCACTGGACAACTTTGTTCAAATTCCTAGAAGCCAGCTGGTCTAGCACGCATCTAGTAGCAGCCTGGTGGCAGGGCTTTTGGGTCATGGAATTTGGAAATTGCATGTGTGAAAAGTGGTGTTACTGGTGGGGAATGGCTGTGGAAAGACCTTGTCCAACCCCGGACAAGAATCTTGACCCATCCTGCTTAGGGTATTGACAGGGATTTGTCTGCTGCTTTCTGTACCTTTCTCTGATGAGATACGGTTTGACTCGGTGGAAATAARAGTCTGGAGAAGCAGGAGAGGTGTGAAGATCCCTCCCCACTTTCTTGGGAGCAAAAGGCTCCCCTTTCCACTGACAGATAAGAGAAACTGGAATCTTCCCTGAGGAAAAAGCATAGTCTGAGATTGTAGAATAGTTTTGTTTCTTTTATATATTCCTTCCACCACTGGAGAAATAAATAAACCTTCTCCTGCAACAGATGAATGAGTGAATAAAATATGATTTTAGGTTGACCTGAACCACTTGCTGTCTCCTAGGCTCGGTGGTCCCCAGCTCAAAACCTTCCCCATCCTCCCTGGACTGGAGCAGTTCAAATGCAGACAATCTCATTAGTCAGGGACAAGCCTTGACTTCAGCAAAGGGAATTGTGATCGGTGAAGGACAAGGTAAGTTCTTGTGTCCTTAGGTAAATTAAAAGGCCAATACAGGCTTTGGTGGGATGGTGGCAGGACTATTTAAAATGCTTTATTTCAAGGATATGCACAGAAAGCACCTTCTCTGCAAGTTATCCTTATCACTGCACAGAGTGTGGTCCTTATTCTTGCAATTTTGTTGTCATTTAAAAAAATCTTCCTGTCTGTGCCAGCAGCTGAAGGCGAGAGTTTTCTGCGGGACAAGGAGAAGAAGGTCCGCCCGTTCTCTATGTTTGATTCCGTGGAGCAGTCCGCCGGGCTGGGCGCGCTGAGGAAGAACCAGAGCAGCGAGGACCTGCTGCGGGAGGCGCAGGTGGGCAGGGCCGGGCGCTGCCGCTCCGCTCCGTGGACGCTTGGAAAAATGCCTCGGTTTCTCCCAAGAAAACACTAGGCTCTTAATGTCACCTGAGCATTTAGAATCCTTCCCTCTACTCTCTATAGGGAAAACCTTCCTTTTGATAAATTACATTCAAACAGCTGGATTACTTGGACCTAGCATGTGCGTGTGCATGTTTTTCCAAAATTTATATATACAGAAGCACTTATGGGGGGCTTTTAAAATCATGTAGACACTTGTTGCACTTGTTTAATTCAGTGGTGTCCTTSAGATACTTGCTTGCAGCAAGACTTTCCACCTGCATCTTGGCACAAGTGCATGATTTGCTTGGGCAGAGGCACAAAGGAACAGGAAAACTGRAAAGATATCAAGTGCTTTGCTGGAAATAAGTGTCTTACCTGCAGATTCCAGTCTAGGTTACCTTTAGAGAATTCTGTACACACCTGTCCTTTGGTTTAAACATAGCTGGAGTGAAGGGAAAGAGGTTGAAAGTCTGGTTTAATGTTTCCAAAAGTCTTTCCATGATTACTAAATGACATTGTAAACAGTGTTGCAGAAATTGTTCACTACTGTGTGGTCCCCGGGGGTCTCTGGTTCTCCGGCAGGTCRCTACAACCTCTTTCACAGTTTAACCTTGATTTAACTCTTCCTTTGTCTTTCAGACAGCCAATAAAAACATAACAAAAGTACCACCACCAGTCCCCACTAAACCAAAGCAGATAAACTTGCCCTACTTTGGCCAAGCTCATCACCTGCCACCGTCCGAGGCGAAGCCGGAGGGAAACCCGCAGAAGCTGCCGTTGGCCGTCGTAACGATGGGGAACAAGCCAAAGGCACAGCAGCCCTCCCACGCTTCCCAGCCGATGCAGCAAAGGATCTCCATGCCTCCAGCAGGTCCTTCCTTGAGCCAGGACCAAATTCTAGCGTCGTCCAAACAGGAGAGTCCTCCAGCAGCAGCCGTGAGGCCGTTTACCCCTCAGCCATCCAAGGAGGCCTCGCTGCCGGCCTTCCGCAAGCCTCCGACGGTGGCTGCGAGCTCCATTTACAGCATGTACACGCAGCAGCAGACCCCGGGCAAGAACTTCCAGCAGGCCGTGCAGAGCGCCCTGACGAGGGCGCAGGGCAGGGCGCCGCACTTCCCGAGCGGTGAGTGTGCTCGGGAGCGCTCTGCTCCCGGAGGTCGGGGCGCGGGTGGGCGATCCCCCGGATCTGYGTGGGCACTGTGGCTCGTGCTGCAATAAGTTGGGTACAGGAGCGGGGAGCATCTCGGGTGGTTGGTGAGATTTGTGTGCYGCTTTTCTGACAGAGCGCATGATATCTAAGTCCTAGTCTAAGATCTAAGATGTCTACGATGATGGTAAACCCTTAGCAGTGAGCAGTTCAGTTGATTCCAGGATTCTGCCTCTCTGGCGAAGTGAACCGGGCTGCATGTTCTTGGTGGGCTTGTTGATGAAACGCTCACGCCTGCTTTTCCGCTGCCCCTCAGTGTACGGCAAGCCCGTGATGGCGGGAGCCCCGGCGCCGCAGCCGCCCGCGGACAACGTCTACGCGAGCGGCCCCGGCGCGGCGGGCAGCCCCGAGCCCGAGGGCGAAGCTGCCGCCAGCGCTCCGGAGAGCCACGAGACGGAGCGGATCCCCCGGCCCCTGAGCCCCACCAAGCTGCTGCCTTTCCTGTCCAACCCGTACCGCAACCAGAGCGATGCCGACCTGGAGGCGCTGCGGAAGAAGCTCTCCAACGCGCCGCGGCCGCTCAAGAAGCGCAGCTCCATTACGGAGCCCGAGGGACCCAACGGGCCCAATATTCAGAAGCTGCTGTACCAGAGGACCACCCTGGCTGCCATGGAGACTATCTCAGCTCCGTCCCATGCCTCCAAGCAGGCCGCGGCAGCTGCCAGCCCCGAAAGCCCCACGGAGATCCCAAATCCCTACTTGAGTGCAGAGTCGGAAAAAGAAACAGCTGCTTCCGCCCCAGAACCAGCCATAGCCGAGGAAGCAGAGTCGGAAGCAGCGGATCAGAGTGAGGTGGTTCTGCCCTCGGCAGCTTTGGACACTGTCCCCGAAGGGCCGTCGGACAGCGAGGAGCTCATGCAACCCAAAATGGAAGAGCCGAGCCTAGAAGCTTCACTGCCTCTGGAAGTGTACATGGAGGAGTATCCTCCATACCCACCACCTCCATATCCGTCAGGGGAACCGGAGAGTTTGGGAGAGGATGTGTCCAATATGCGACCTCCAGAAGTTACAGGACAGTTTTCCCTGCCTCCAGTGAGTATTAGCCTACAAATAAGTCAGTCCAAGTTCCACAAGGAGTTTCCCTGTGTTGTCTTGTAGAGATCGTTGAGTGGATGTGGAGAGTTAGTTGCAGGGATAGAAGAGATGCTATAGAGAAACTTCTGTTTGTTTGATACAATTATCTCCAAATGGAACTGACAGTAATGAAAAGACTGTTGTTTCATAAAATGAATGGCAGTAATGATAAGTTTTGAATGGAGCTTGGTACACCAAGAGTAAAACTCTTCAGGGCTGTAAAATACATTTCTTATAGAAGCCTCATCCAAATTTTATTACCTCTTAAGAGTAAATAAAACTGATTTTTGAGGCACAGCTGCAAATTTCAGGAGTATTTGTCCYGTTGTTGATGTGAGCTGGAAACCAATTATCTGAATCCCCAGTCAAATTTATCTATTTGGAAGTGCCTTGTTTGAAAATTAGAGTTGAACAGGACCTGTCCCAGTCCCCACTTTAACAACTCCTTTGTAGATGCCAACTGCTTACGCTTCCTTTACTGGAGCTTTCTCCACATTTTTCTCTGAAACTTTCATTTGTCATGAGTCAATTCTCAAGCTGCATCGAAGTGACGTCCCTTAGGGCTAAGGGTAGGCACCACTTTACTGTCTTGATGCTTATTTTGGGAGTCTGCATCCGTTCATGTGCTGTGGTGTTATTTCACACTTGCAGAGCAGAAATACTTAATGTTTTCAGCTCTTTGAAGAGTTCTGGTAAAACTGATCACGAGTAGAATTTTAATAAGCTGATGTACAAAAGTGTGATTTTCTTTTTTTGTCCTGTCCACCTCGGGGCAGAGGACATAAATACTTTAGCCTGCTTTTTAACCTTGTAATTTCTGCATGGAATAGTCACTGCATGTTCTTCTTTGTGCTCTTAAAGCCTTTCTCCTTGCTCCTTTTTTCAAGGAAACTTGGGAGCTAGGATGTCCTAGGCTGCAAGAACGCAGGTCTGCGTGGTTTTGTGGTAATCTGGGGAGGAGAAGAAACCAGCCCAACTTCTTGATTTGTATTTAAAAACTTGAATTCTACTAAAAGGCAGTTTATTTAAAAAGCCTGTACTTGTGGCATGATGTAGAAATCAGTGGGTGAAGGAGGCTTTTCTGGGAATCTCATCCCCTACAGCTTATCGTCACGTGTTTGCTCTTGCAGAACATGAGTCATTTCCATTGCTCTCTGCTTGGGCATCTGTCAGGAATTTGCATGGCCCTCTGAATAGTGTTTATTCCTGCTGCCCAGCCAGCTGGGCAGAGCGCTGCCTTGCTGGGTGCGTGGCCACTGCAGAAAGAGCCCAGTGAAAACGATCCAGAGGAGCTTCCCGGGATCACTGGGGGCTTCTCGAGTCGTTCCGTACTTGGTTCTGCATTCGCACGGAGACTCTTTTCCGTAACAGGTTTTATTCCTGGTAATAACTCTGCTCTACTTAGCAAAATATTAGGAACTTAACATCTGCGCTTAAAGATGTGCATGGAGTCTTAAGGTTCATGGCTTGGGTCATAGCTGTAAGAATTAATGCTAAAATAGTCTGAATACAAACGTTTGCATTTGTTTCTTCTGTKTAGAAATTTAGGAGTTTCGTGATTTTGATGTACTTGCTCGAGGTGATTTCTGAGCTGAACACTGACCTCTGCCTAAAATGGAGGCAAAGATCTTTCCTAGTGCTCCAAACTTGCTGTATTCATCCTGGGAAGGGGGCTGGGAATGATAGCAAATGTGTGAATAGTTTAAATTTCATGTATGTCCTGAATGGTCATTTCTGTTATTTTTATATCAACAACTTCATATTCTTGTTTTCCCAGCAGAAATACCTGTAACTTGTGTTACCTTTTTGCAGGGGAAGAGGACAAACTTGCGTAAAACTGGCTCCGAGAGAATTGCCCATGGGATGAGGGTGAAATTCAACCCCCTCGCACTGCTKCTGGATTCATCTTTGGAGGGCGAATTTGACCTCGTGCAGAGAATCATTTATGAGGTACAAATCCTACCTTGGGAGAGGAGGAGTAGCCATCCCCTTCCAAGAGGGAAGCCAAAGCTAAGCTGGTCAGGGCTGGGATGCGAGACTAAATGAAGAGCACCCAGCCTGGATCTGTTTGTGAGGAGGGAAGAAATCCCAACAGAAAGGGCCACCTGGCAGCTCGTTTGAGCTGTTGCATCCTYGCTGGACATTTAGCATAGAGACTGGAAGATTGCAAGGTGCCTTTTCCATTTCTTATGTAGCATGTTAGCAAAGTATTTGACAAGAAAAGGCTCACTTACCTATTTCACTGCAAGCAAAAGACATGTATTTGGGACATGTTACAAATGCTTGTACTAAATTGCCAAGACGATATAAATATTTTTCTAAATATCCGTCATCTTTCTGTTAAAAGGAGACTGCAGGGTCTCATGTGAATCTTCTTGTGATATTGTGTTACTGCTGTTATTTTTCTCCCCGTTGCTTGTGTTCTTTATAGAAATAAGGCTCAGAATTAACACTWCAGAACAGGGCAACTGATTTTCCTACCCGTAGAGATGTTAACTGTGGAGAGCTTCAGCAGAACGAGAGTCTGTCCTTTGTTGGTTGCGCAGGTGGAGGATCCCAGTATGCCCAACGACGAGGGCATCACGGCGCTGCACAACGCCGTGTGCGCCGGGCACACGGAGATCGTCAAGTTCCTGGTGCAGTTTGGGGTGAACGTGAACGCCGCCGACAGCGACGGATGGTAGGGCTTCCCGCGGGCACCGGCGGGCGACCGCCCGAGAGCCGCAGCCCGCGGCTTGTCCCCTCTGATGGAAGGGAAAAACAAGGCTCTGGGAGGCTCTGGGCTCCTGAGGGGGTGGATTTGACTTCGAGAGGCCTTTGTAGGGGAGAAAAAAGTTTAAAAAGGAGCTTTAGAGCTGTGCTTGCACCTGCAGGGCTGGTGAGCACTTTTCCACAGGAGTGCAGCAGCAGTTCTCGGTGGGGTGTCATGAGGGGGAAATAGGCAGAGCTGCACAAATGCTTCGTATTTGGGCAAAACAGAACAAAACTAACTGCGTTTCCAGCCTGATGGGCTGGATGYGGTTGTCAGGTAATCTGTTTCTTTGAGATGTTAGGCAAGTATAAGGCAATTTCTATATGATGAATTGCCTGCTGGAATTCCCAGTGTGCCTCCCCTGCAAATGTGCTAGTGTGCAGCCTGCACACACGCTGGACAGCTTCCAGCTCTGCAAATTTTTTTGGCTTTTATGCCCAGAACTCAGATAATTGAGGAGTGCTTTCCCAACCCACAGCCCCAAGCCAGAGGTGGTGCTGAGGTTACAGCTCATTCCTAAAGGATGCCAGGGGAGCTTTCTGATAGAAGGGCTGTGGGAGAGCTCTGCCTTTCTGCCTACACCTGAAGTGCCCAAGGCTCTGAGTAAAGATGCTTGTTGTCCCACAGCTGTAGTTGCCCGTGCTCCTTCCCAGGCCACATCTCAGCCCATCGCTGGGTGGCGAGAGATGTCGCGTTTGGAGTGTTTCTGAGGTGCACTGGGGAAAGGTCTTCAGTTTTCAATGGATCAGAAAGCGGTAGCATGACCAGAGGTCCATATAGAAACCCAGCTCCAGGGCTCTGGCAGCTCCAGGTACCCCCTGCTCTGAAAGGCAGTTGTTCCTGGCCGGCCGGGTTAACCGCTGCAGGCGGGAGGCCCTGCACGAGAGCCCGGGGAGCCCGCGGGCCGGGCTGCCRGCCATCAGCCTTTTGTCCTGCCCTTCCCCTTGGCGCGCAGGACCCCGCTGCACTGCGCCGCGTCCTGCAACAACGTGCAGGTGTGCAAGTTCCTGGTGGAGTCGGGCGCCGCCGTGTTCGCCATGACCTACAGCGACATGCAGACGGCCGCCGACAAGTGCGAAGAGATGGAGGAGGGCTACACGCAGTGCTCCCAGTTCCTCTACGGTGCGTGACCAGTCCCTCCCTCCCTCACGTGGGGCTTTTCGGTGTGGTTTTGGGTGAAGAGTGGGTACTTGCACGGCCTTTTGCCTGTGCCCCAAGTTCCTGTTGGGGAGAGAGGGCCTAAGCYGGCTTACTGTGAGGTCCATCTGGAGCAAGCTTTTGTATCTGCTGAGTCTGTAGAGGTGATTTGGGTGATGCAGTTTCCATGTGCATTAAAACCCTTGAATGAACTGAACATTGCATGAGGGAATGCAGTGGCTTGAGAATATGATAGGGTAGATCTTCCCAGGTGAGTGTTACTTCATGCACCAACGTGCTGGGGATTGCTCAGCAGGCCGTTCTCTCTCACACACACAACCTAATGTCTTCAAATGGGGAGYACTTCCTAAGATGAATTTTTAGAACCTGGGAAGGTATTTCCAAGTTTCTGCCTTAACAGAGGTTTGTAAACACTGAACTGGACTCTGCTGTTTTTATTTTCTATGWTTTATAAATAAATCCCCCATTTAATTTAATTCCTTCCTATAGTAAGGCTACAAGGAATATCCTTTTTTTAATACCCTGAATTCCTTCCAGGGTACAGTAGGAATTAAATCAGAGATGATATTAGATTATTTTTCTGTGGTTTGTAGGTAGCCCTTGCTGCATAGGCACCTATCAACTGGACTTTCATTCCCCTATGAGAGGCTGGAGGAGTAAGAGGGAAAATGCAGCCTATCTGGGTTGGTGGGAGCTCTGAGCAGCGTGAGCTCTGGTGAGCTGCTAAGCGCACGTGTTTCAGAGCAGCCTGCCCAGCTGCCCTCAGGAAGCAGGATGTCCCGGTGCCAGTGCACTGCCTTCCTTAGGAAAGGAAGGAGGAGCCCTTAGGAAAGGAGGGAGCCTCCCTGGCTAGCAGCCCAGCCTGGAGGCAAGTGAAGTTCCAGTCGGTTTTGCATCCAGGCTCCCGTGGTATGGTGGCTGCCAACAGCAAACATCCAAGGTGGATTATAGGACTACATTAACAAGAGTAATTAAAAATAGTAGTGTTTAATCAGTTATCTTTTTGTTTGTTTTTAAGCATGAGTCAGAGCTGGGACCTGTGTTTAATGAGTGCTGGGATTTTTTTTTTCTAGAAATCTGTCAAATTCTTAAATTCATATAAGCAACCTCCTGTGGGAAGGAGGCCCATGACTTACCTAGGCACAGTCTGAAGAAACATGTTCTGTTTGTCTGTGGATTTTTTTTAATCTCACTCACTGAATTGTCAAATGTTCCTTTTCAATATAGAAATACATTTATATATTTATATAGAGATATGATTATTACCTGTAAAAATTATGAGATACTTTCTAGTAGGTCTCCAAAGGATTGTAAGGCTCTGGCTTGTTGTCATCTTTATTGAAACCTCTTGATATTTGGGCTGCCTGGCTGCTGAATTCTCATATTGTGCTGAATGCTATTGCTGGGGCTCTCTACAGTTATGGTGAGAAATTCACTCACTGTGGAGCCTTCCTGCTGCAAGGGAAGTCTGGGGTGTGGGTGTCCCTGTTTAGAGCAGATGTTGCATTAAAACCTGGCCTGTTGCCTGTGAGATGAAAAACCTGGGTGTGCAGCCTGGGAAGTATCTGAAATGAGTATTCACTGATTTGCCTAATTCCTCTTTGCTGTGGAGAATGAACAATACTGAAAAGCAGCAACAAATGCAAGTGTTTCAAGTACTCCATTAGTCGCCTAACACTGGAATCCTGCTCTGATGTTGCAGCCACATCATCTTACACCTTTCAGGGATTAATGACCTTCATGGTATAACCAGGCTCTTAAAGACATTACCCTGGATCAAAACTTCTTTATTGTTCACCTGTTGTGCAGCTCTCTTTCCCTCAGTGTTGATACTCAGTGCCAGCTCTGCCCTTACGTGTGTGCAGAGCTCCAGCCTCTGCTAAACTTTTGGTTATACCAAATGGGAGGCGAGGAGGGGAGGAAAGCTTCCTTAGGAATTAAAGCACGCTGTGAAAGTAACTTGGGTTTAGAGGAGCTGCAAGGTAGAAATGAAAACCTTCCCTGGCAGACATAGACTCTCATATAGGATCCTTAGCTGTAATAGCTGGAAGATGGAGAGGGAATTGACAGGTTTTGTGGTGTGATGTGCAACATACCTTTCCTCCTGAAGATATGAAAATATAGCAAGCAAAAACCAGTAAGGCTCACTAATCTAAAACAGCATAATTAACTATGAGAAAGTTTGTATAGCAGTTGTTTGAAATACCCTTTTTGATGTGCTGAGAAATATGTAGTGAGAGAATATTTCATCTTTAGCTACAGCTGTTTATTCAGATTCTAACAACAAGTAGGTTTTAAGTGATCTTTTTTTTTTTTTTTTTTTCCCCCCAACGTTGCAGGAGTCCAGGAGAAAATGGGCATAATGAACAAAGGAGTCATCTACTGCCTGTGGGATTACGAGGCCCAGAATGACGACGAGCTCTCCATGAAGGAGGGAGACTGCATGACSGTCCTGCGCCGCGAGGACGGCGACGAAATCGAGTGGTGGTGGGCACGGCTCAACGACAAGGAAGGCTACGTGCCCCGCAACCTGCTCGGSGTAAGTGCTCGCTCGGCGGTCACGGGGACACTGGCTGCAGGGTTGACAGGATTCGCCTCGTGCATCTGGGCTAGAGGCTGCTTCCAAAGTCCAGCCCTCGGAGTTGAAGCCCTCTGTTTATCCAGGCAGGGAGTTGCGGGCTTCGGCAGAGAGACTGACAGCCTCCATTGGGATCCTTGGTGCAGGCTGTGTTAATAGTCCCTCCCTGCCTCTGTTTAGGGGGGATGTAGTGCACTTTATGCACTGAGACAGGTTCACRTAGGAATTTAAGCCACGAACACTGCAAAATTCCACACTCCTCTTTCTAGTATGGAAAAGAGCTCAAATTGCCAGATCTCATGGAAATTTTACAATGCTCCTGTTTGTCCTGTGCTCTTTCAGTAGTAAGTTAGTGACATCTAATTCRCTTCCCCTCTTTGTATTACCCTTTTATTTAAAAGCAAAATAAAACACAGATGTGTCTGGATAATGGGAGATATTTTCAATTACTTCCCCATGTTTCTCCTTATGACCGAGTTGCTAGAAAACTCAAGCAGATGGACATGTGTAAGAGCTCCATTAAGCTTTTTGCTACCTATGCAGTAACCCTCCTGCAGGAGATAGCCCTTAGAACTGGCAGAACTTCAGAACTCCCTTSAGTTCCAGCTGAATGAGGAATGATGCTTGAAAGAGGCCGAATCTTCTCCTCATACCGATAATCCTTATTCCTGACTGGTCAGGCTTCCAGAGCAGCCACCTCTAATGCAGGACAAGTTTTCACATCTGCTCTGCACCCGCGTCGTTCCCAGTGGGAGCCCYGTTGTTCCCCCAGCGGGAGCGACCCTTCCTGCCCAGCCCACACACCCACCCCAGGGCCGCCGGGGAGGTTCCCATGCCCAGCACCGCTGCCTGAGCACTCGGGAGTGGTTCCTGAAAGTAATGACTGGACTTTGAATGGAGCAGCTGAAATCCAGGCCAGGATGTGCAGCCCGGAGAAGAATCCTCGGTAGCTTCATGTGGWCTTGCGTAGAGCTGTGTTTGTCACAGCTGCTCCAGTCTTCTGCAGTTAGGTGCACTGAGTAAAACTGAGGGAATAACATGATCKCTCTCTGCCAGTCTCACAGTCAGCAGCTTCCTGGGCCGTGCAGGAGTTCTGGAAGCAAATGCCCCAACAGGAGCTCCTGGCACCCAGGGAAGCACAGGCAGGYTGAGCCCATCCCTGCTGCAGGTGCTGCAGGCTGTGCTGGGCCCCGGGGCGAAGTCCCCCCCTCTGCTCCTGCTCAGCAGCTGAGCAGCAGGAAGCCTAGGAAGGAGTCTAGTGCCTCTTTGAATACAGAATGGCCTTAAGGTCCCTGAGCTACCTATGTGAATTCGCAGCCCTTCCCTCACTACGGCACGGCCCCTGGAGCATCAGGGTCCTTGGGCAGCCCAGTGTTCCCAGCCTGTCCGAAGCTGTRGCTAGATAGTGGCTGGTAAGCATTACAGAAAGCAAAATAGAGCTCAGCACCTCCCTATTTCCTCTCATAAGTGGGGGGAGAAGTTCACTGAACACAGGCTCTTGACTTAKGAAACCACCTGTCTTCCCTAGCCCACCCTCCTGGCTCACGCTGCAGTTTCTCTGTTGCTTGCTTTTCAGTGCCTTCCTTTTGCATAATTGTGCTTTCATACTTGCACGCTCYGTACCTTCTAAGCTCGCCTGAAGAATGCTATATCTACTCCTGTTAGTGCTCTGAGGCACTAAAATTTTGAATTCTCTTCTGTTTTACCCTCAGCTGTATCCAAGGATTAAACCTAGACAAAGAAGCTTGGCCTGATCTAGCACAGAAGCCAGACTCTTGAAGTACTAATCATGAATGACTTAAAGAAAAAAAATTGTCTTGGTTCCAGTATCATGAGACTTATTTCAATGACAATGTAATTTGAAAGCTATGAAGAATGTGCTTTGAAAACAAATGAAGGATTGATGCATTAGCAAATGGAAAAGGGCATTTTCCAAGATGAAATAGTGGCTACAAGCAACTGAAACTGCTCCATTTGGTCTAAGCAAGACTAATGTTCAAGTTCCCACTCTGATCTTTCTGCCATGCTGGGGAAAAAAATCACATTTTTGCACAATAAATACAAGGACCCTTTCAATTCCTCAGTGGAGGAGGCAGCATGAAACAGATGACTGGCTTTGTCCACATTTTTCCTGAGGGTTTTTCCAGATGGGAGAAACTGAAGTCATCTAACGTACGTGCGCAGCACCCAAATGCTTGTGCTGTGAGCAGAACATTGGTTGAAGTAGCCACACTGAAGTGCATCTAAGCAGTAAGAACCAGGTGACCAGTGCATTGAGCAATAACTTTTAAAATGTTGTAGCATCTTAGGAATTTCATGTATTCAAAATGTGCTATATTCCAGACAATGTAGTTTTAGACTCCTCTTTTTACAAAAAGCCTTCTGTATTTATTGTCTTTTTGTACTTTGAAAACTAAGTGTAGAAACTCTTTAGTCCTTCTTTCTATTGACTGTGATACCATTAAACTCTTTTTCCTCTCTTAAGCCTTAACTCCTGGGTGCTGCCAAGCTTTTTAATGCTACAGCACCTGACAGTGTTATCAACACAGGTCTAGCCCTGCTAGGGTAACAGCTCCTTGCTGTACTGGAGGTGGAGGAGTGATTCCAGCCTGGGCTTGACTCTCTGCATTAAAACTTAGCCCTTACCTGTAAGCTGCATGTATCTTTTGTTAACCTTAGAAGCTGGGGGACACGTGTAAGAAGACAGACCTTGGTACAAGTATTTTTGAAATAAAACCTTTCTTCTAGACCTATCCTTTGTATCCATCGGCTCAGGAGTAATCACTGGCCCAGGAGCATTACTTACACGGTCAAATCTTTCCTTGAGGGAATTTTCATAAACCGCTTCACCTTCAGGCTCCTGGTTCCTGCTTTCTGAAAACACACCCCTAAATACAGGAAACTGAGTAGGAAAGAGGATGCAGTTGCTGAAGTGGCCAAGACTGAGCTGGAGTGAGGAATCTCTGAAGCAGGGGCCTGCCACTCTTAACAGCCTCGTCCTCATTTCAATACGTGCAATATAGGGTCTACACTTTTGATCAGTATTCTTGGAGAGATTCACTGTCTCTGCCTTTAGCCTTGGAAGTATCAGGCTGCTACCACTTCACTGAACAATGTGCAGGCAGAGTGTCTGCCACTGCTTCAGGATTTTGGATCCAGAATGCTGTTTTCTCCTTATAAAGAAGTTTTCGCTGTTACTGGAAACTGCAGTTCTGCATAAATGCTGCAAGAATCTACCTCAAAGGAGGTAGGAGTTATGACCTTACAAACTTGGGAAAGTTTGTAATATATGAGAACACAACAGTGGAAGTAATAACTTACATTTCAAAGGAACATAAAAAGGGTGCAGGAACTTAAGAATGTGCTGGAGAGCACAGGATGCCACCAGGCTCCTGCTGTATGGCCCGCAAAGAGGGGCAGGAGAAAAAGACTTCATTTCAGTCACACCAGTATTTTCTACTCAAATATTTCCAGGAATATTTGAGCTGAGTTAGGGCTTGACTGCAAACATAAGAGCTGCACATCTGACCTAAACTCCTGTAGTGCCCCAGGACATCCCTCCTCTGGTGACAGATGCACAAGCAGAACAGGCAACGGCGCTGTTATTCACAAAGCACTTACTGACCCACTCTGTCAGTTTAAAAGTATTTTTTTCCAGAAGTCAAGTAACATATAATAAATATGAAGGTATTAGCAAAGCAGTATTTTCAAAAGTTACYGAGTTACATTTCAAAAGTTACTAAGTTATTAAAGCTTTTGGACAGATGATCTATAATAGTAGATAAAGACTGTCCTAAGTGTGAAATGAGGCTGCAGCAGCTTCCATTGCTGAACTGGAACTCTGCTTCCTTAACTGTGAGAAGTTCCCATTCATAATTTAAGGCACATGCGCTATTTTTTTTTCCTGATATATATATGGCATGATTATCCCTACATGATCTTGATCTTTCTGAGATGTCCTCAGCTGCTGTCAGGGCTTCAAATGACAGTAAAGCACAGCCACTATATATGACAGAAAGACACAGGAAAAAGAAAAAAATGAGTCAAGGTTAAGTTTAGCAAAAATACCTGTTGCAACTATGTACATGCCTATTTCTAGCATGGAGGAAAGTCTTAAGTATTCTTAGAAAAAGTAATTTTGAGTGATATTTCCTGAACTATTTAACCATATGTGTCATTTAAGTTGAGGCCACAAATGCACTTTGTGAACTTTGGAATGAGCTGCCTGTTCCTCCATTATGTCCTGAAGGAAATAACTTACATTTATGTAACAGGTGAAGTAGGGAGGAGAAAAAAAAAAAAGAAAAAGCACATATAGGTTATTAGTTCCCTTTTAGCATAGGTGTTTCCAGAGGGCACACTTGGTGGCCTTCTGAGTCAATACTGAGTAGACAYTTCTCCCTTAAATTTTATCTTCTGCCCTTGCCCAAAAGTGGGGAAGAGGCCTGGCCTACACAGGATTCAACCAGCAAATGATGAGAGATTTCTGGTTAAAGTAACTTACTGAGCTTGCTAGAGAGTACTGTGTGATGTAGTTTTTGTTGTGTGTTTTGTTTTTTCAAAAAGGGTGACCTTCAAGCTGCATGTAGTACACAAGGTAGCTAAAGCCCTACCCTGTGTGAACTCACACACAGCCATCCCTAAGACTGCAGGRGGACAGTCCCTGTTGTTGCCCCACCACCCTCAGAGAACAGAGATTTAGCTCTAAATCCACTTACAGTGACAAGGTTCAACTCTATTTCTCCAGTTTTCTCCGTATCCAGTTTTCTGAACATTTCTGTGGTAGGAGACAAAACACAGATGTAGCTGAATGCAGGAACCAACTAGAGAGACAGGCTCCTGTGCTTCAGATCAAAGAAAGAGTTTGCTCCCAGATTCTAAGTTTATGAAAATGGTCTACAACCCAAGCCAGAATGGAACAACTGGAAACATTGGGGGGAAATATATATATATATATATATATATATATATATCTCCACATATAAGAGAAGCATTTTAACTGTGCTAATGTACAAGAACTACTTGTACATTGTACTACTTGTACAAAGGGAGTTTGTGTTCTTCAACGGGCCCATCTGCAATACTAAAATATTTCTCAAACCATTAGGAGAAAAAATATATAGTTTTTTTTAACTCAACAGTTTTGGCATGAAAGAATCTGGCTGTGCTGCAGCCATCAGAGGCCGATTTGCGGAGCAGGGTGCAGACAGGCTGCACCGATGTTGGTGCCAGGACAGAGTTTCCCACTCAAACGAGCCTGGATTTGCCAAGGAGCAGCCCCAGCGGGCGCCCGGCTGCAGCGGGTACTCACTGAACAACGTTTCGAGCCGAATGAGGCACCGGACAAAGTTATCGAAGTCGATGATGAGCTCCTCGTCCGCAAAGCGAGCCACGATCACTTGATGCAACTGGCAGCTCAGCTTGAACCCTAAAAGAAAACACCACGGAGGCAAACAAATACATAGAAGACACCAAAAAAATCCCTAAATCTGTCAGTCTGGAACTGATAAAATTATAAAAAGAGAACAAGATAAAAACCTGCTGTTTCCAGTGCTCTCCTCATCTCATATGAGTTCATGGTACCAGATCGATCCACATCAATTTCTCTGTAAATTTTCTGCACAACACAAAAATCAAATCAAAGGGGTCAATAACGCCGAGCCYCAGCCAGCTTCAGCTGAGTTTTTGCTTCAGTCAGAAATCCAATATTTTAAATCACAGCCAGAGCTTTGCTTAGTGCYCAAAATACTTGGCAGGAGGCCTGTACACATGCATGCCTGACATCTAAAATTCAGATCCCCAATATCTAAAAGCAGGTTTAGAAACACTCAAATCTTTTAATGAAGCAGCCAGGTTGGATACAGGCCCCTTTYTCTCTCAGCATAAAAGAGATCCTTATTGAGCCTTCCCATGCTGAATAAAATGCAGTGTATACAAAGGTGCTGCATATAGACACTGACACCTCTACCCTCCAGCAGCTGTATATTGTATGAAGCAGATCAGTCCACAACCAGCTTTAAGGTCAATTTTCTCTTGAAGAGGTTATGCCTCACCTGGTATTTCTGAATCTTTGTCCAGAGTGTGTGGAATTCCTTCAGCCCCAGCTTCCCGCTCCCATCGTTCTTGGTGGAGTCAAGGCAAACTCAAGGAAGGAAGAGTGTTTCCCCTCCTACCTCCGCTGCTAGGTTTGGATAGACAGGCAGTATTGGATGCAGTATTGGATATGGGATGCAAGTCATCAGCAAAGCCTGTTGGGCACGCAGCTGTTCTACAGGATACAGCTGGCTGGTTCATTTAAACACCATTTCTCCAAGTTTTCTGCTTCTCTGTGGCTTTACCCCTTTACCACGCACACACAAGAGCAGAGACAATGCCATTCTGTGCTGCAGAGGTGGCTCAGGGCAGCTTGAGGAGCACGGGCTAAGCAGGCCTGAACCACCAGCAGGCCTGCTATTTAACTACCCACTTCCAAGTTTTTGAAGCAACACAAGAACCCTGTCATTTCCTCTCTCCCCAGAACTGCTGTGGGGGCCCTGCCACCTTTTACAGCAAATTACAGCAGAGGTTCATYTTGTTTTGGTAGTTTCTCCCCTTTCTGACTGTGCAATTCCACCCCCACTTCCCGGACCAACTGAGCACAACTATTCTTAGACTCGCATCGCTCGTCCCACGCTTTCGCCCTTCTTCTGCAGAGCAGCAGCTCCAAGGCCCCAGCGCGCTGCCTGGCCTCCTGCTGCCTGGCTGCCGTATTTTCAAAGTCCTCACAGCTTTAAAACTAATCATTGCAGAACAGGAGGAAAAAGAAAAGATAAAAGCAGAGCGGGCGGGAGCACCCAGATGTGCGTGTTCGAAGTCCCTGTGCCAGGGCCGTCTGCTGCCCTTCCCCAGCACCGTCGTCACTGTCACCAGCTAAACCAGAAGTGGAGCAGCAAGGGAGACTCCAGAGCAGTTGATGCCCCCTGAGGACAGACCCTTGCGGCTGCCCCGGGCAGCAGCAACAGCGAGAGCTGCCCTGGGTGCACCGGGGAGGCCCGGGAGTCACCCCCGCGGCGGGGACCTGCCCAAAGGCCGCAGCTCGGCCGCTTCAGCACCGCAGGAGGACGTTGCCTCGGAGCAGCCGTGAAGGATACRTCCAGGAGATCCACCATTATTTTGCACGTCTCAATGCTGAAGCCGTCCGACTTAATATCCTGGCCTGTGAAGGAAGAGCACAGGCAGGATTGCTGCTGGGTGCCGGAGCACGGGAACTCTGCAAGCGCAGCGCGCACGTGGCAGCCCTCATTTGTTTCTACATCTGCAGTGACTTTACAGCAAGTGAAATAATTTCTTCTCGGAGTGTTTTTTGCTATTATATAAGGTAAAAGCTTGTTTGCAATATCCCTGCTATTCACTCAACTATTCAGTGTCTAGGTGGAATCTTCCTTTGAGAACAGGCCTTGTGCTGCTCCTCTGTCACAGTGCAGTAAGCAGCAGGGGACAGGAATTGCTCGTGTCACCTAAAGCCTTTGCGAGCCAGCAAGTACCTCATGCAGGAGACCTGCGCACCATGGGGATGGGCACACGTACAACTGCAGGTAGAAAATCCTACAATTTCCCTCAATTGCCAGAGAAGAAACAACTCTGCATTGCACAGTGGCCCCTGCTGAGGCAAGAGACAACCCCTGGTCCTTCCCAACTGGCCGAGCACAGGCAGTGGTTACCCCTAACAAGGGCGAACAGAGCTTCAGCTGGGAGGACACGAGCAAAACCCGCAGGGCTCCCTGCAAATGGTTGTGAGATGGTTCTTGTTTTGCACGAGAGGGACATCCTGGAAGACCCCCCTTCAGCTCAGGCAGGGCCCCGGGTTTCTGCAGCCCCTGACAAGTGGGGCAGAGGCCCCACAGAGGCCAAGCTTCAGGTCTGCAGCAGAGAGGCTGAGCTGCAGGTCTGCAGCAGAGAGGCTGAGCTGCAGGTCTGCAGCAGAGGCCGGCACGCTGTTCCCCGCTGTAACTCGCCACAGCCAACCCAGGCACAGCTGGGCAGGGACTTACGTTTGGCCATGATTTTATTCAAGATACTGCGCAGTTCGAAGGCGGAGATCTCTGCATCCTGGGGAAAAGGGGAAAACAAAAGCAAAGTTGGTAAGTGGGGATGCAGACAGCATCTCCTGAGCAGCCTCTGGATGCCTTGGGGTGAGTTTGCCAAGTGCAGGGAGTGCGATCCACTGGGAGCTCCTGCCAATGCAGTGTCACACAGCACAGGGTGCAGGTCCTGCACTGTCTGCCAGGCCTCCCGGRGGACCCAGCTGCACAGTCTGGATGGGACCAGCCTCAGAAAGCGAGGGAAGGGAGGCCGCTGTGTGCGGGCTCCGCGAGCGCACTCCGACCCCGCTGCCTCCGGGACGCCCTGCGGCGGCCGCAGCCAGCTCCGCAGTCCRGCGAGGCTGCAGGTTGCTGCCCAGGGCACCGAGAAGTCCACGCTAGGAGCAGGCGGGTMAGGGCAGAGCTGCTGCCTGCACTGTCACCTACACGTGCGTGATTCGGCCCAGGAATCGAAGCGGGCACTGCGAAAGGGAGCCCCTTATCCCATCTCACATCCCCTCTACCAACAWGATAGAACAAAAAGTACTCACAGTTCCTGCTAGCTGCCCAAAGAGTTTCTTAAAGCTGGGCTCAATGTCGTCTTCACTGATCTCCGTCTGCAAAAGAGAAATGCAGGAGACTGAAAGCTGGAATTTTCCTGTCAGAGATGTATTTACTGCATATCCTTGCTCTACTAAAGCAATGCAATTTAAACTGCAATGTTGAAGGTACACAGTAATTTTGCTTTGATTATAACCAACTTTATTTTCAGGGCTCCTAAAAATGCTGATGTTACAAACACTGCAAGAAATTAGTTTTTTTTTCCTAATGGCTTTTACTTTAAAGAAAAAAAAGAAAAATTAAATATCAAATTAGGTATTTTATCCCCCCCTAAAAAAAACCAACTGAACCTAGAACTTCACTGCTGCTACTGCTGCTGAACCAGCTGCCTGCACTCAGAAAAATGAGCAAAATGTAAGTTCTCACCTTGCAAATACCACACAAAGTGATAGACGTGTAACACGCTGCACTAGGAGGTGAGATTCTCAACTTTGACAAGACTGAAAACACGGGGAGTCACCACTTAACTCGTGGAGACAACACTGCAAAACACACCCAGCTACAGGAATCCTGAGGCCACAGGCTGCTGGGATCTCGGGCCGAGGAGCAAAGGGAATTTCCTTTGGCTTCAGTTATTCTGCAGCCAGTGACCGACCTCGTACCTGAAAAGCCTAAGGTCACTCGCAGCAATTCTGCCTGCCGTGTCTCCACGGTCCTTGCTGCACATTCAAGTGTGGATATCCAAAGATCTGTTTCCAAAAGTTCTTGATAATGTTTATAGAAACAATACTACCCCACTCTGCTTGTGCATGGCACAGGATAATCCAACCCTACCTATCAACAACAAAATTAATCTCATTTTACAATATTTAACTTAAGATATACCTCTTCAAAAGTGGCTTCAATTTCATCATCTATAACCCTAGGGGAAAAAAAATGAAAAGACTGATATTAAAAACACAGAAAAAGTCACTTTTCTGATGCCCTTGCTTAAAGTTAAAGAGGAACACCTCAAACTCTGGTAGCAGTGGTAGTGGTAGGAGAGCGTTCAAAGGCAGGAGCTGCTGGAGGAGGCAGCACAGGCGGGAAGGGCACCGCGCCGGCCGCCGCCTTTGCAGGCCCTGGCACGCTGCGCTCGGGGACGCACACGGACACCCGGCGCAGCTCCCGTGTCCCTGGGCACACACCCCATGGAGGGGAGGAGCTGGCACCTTCCCGGGGAGCTGGGGATGCCCTCAGCAAGAACTCAATGAGCCTTCATGCAACCGCCGACCCCTTTTTCTAAAATTAAAGAAAATGTGTTAGGAAAGATGACTGCGGAGCAGAAGGGCTTTTGCTTGCTGATATGGATTTGGCAGATCCAAGGGGAAAACCTCTTCCCAAGAGCCCAGCCTGCCTCATTAAGCTGCAACACATCTGAACTTCCCTTATGGCTTCATGGCCAGCAGCATGTTTTCATCCAGTTCCACTAAAACCCTTTCTGATTTTATCAAAGATACCATTTAGCTGAACAAGAACCTTGAATTTTTCCAGCATTATTCCAAAAGAGTGAGATCATTTGTCTGATTAATGTGTTCACAGACATCAGAAAACACATTGAGCATCTCCTCTACTGCCATCCTCTGGGGCTTCCTGTGCTGTGCTGTGAATCCTGCTAGCAATGCCTGCCCAGCCAGSGAGGAGAGCACAATAAAACATTCCTTCTTGCTGTGCTCACCCCAACTTCCCTCTGTTGCACACAGAGAAACAGTTTTTCTATTGCTTCCATTTCCAGGCTGACACTGAGGCAAGCAAGTGGCATTAGCCATAAAATACCCTCACAAACTCTCAATCCCTCTRTTCCTTGAATGCACAGTCACTGGAGCGAAGGACACTTCTCCCCTTTGGACAGATCCTGTGGCCTTCTGTCAGGCTGCCGGCAATTCCAAGTGTGTTTAACACTGAGGCAGGACACAGTAAAGCCAGACTGTCTGGGGACAAACCMGAAGTGACAAAACCCCTTCCCTTGAGGAGCCCACGGGTTCAGACTGCGCTTGCAGAGAGGTCCCTCTGGTCCTAGTGTTCATCCCCATGCCAGGAGGACACGACCCTCTCCAGCCATCCGAGGGCAGCAGAGTCCAGACCTGGGATCAAAGTGATCCCATCAGTGAACACACTGGTGGCCCCCGTTGCACTGCTGGCTGCCAACCAAATCACACCATACAGGCTGCATATAGAGTGCCCACATGCAGCTCTGCAGCTACAGAACAGGCACCTACTTGGAATCTGCGTTTTTTTCGGAGAAGACTCGCAGACAGAAGTCCCCGTTCTTGTGGGGCTCAAAGGTAGAGGGCACAATGATGTACTGGCCCGGGGGGAGCTTGAACCGGTTCAGCACTTCCCGGAGGTTGATGAAGGTGTTCGACTTCTCTCTCGCTTTGTTGGTCAGGAAGAAGTTTTTGCTCAGATGAACGTTCGTCTGCCCGGAAAACTTATGGAAAGCAGAGAAACAAAAGATCCCCACAATTTGCATGTATTTGCATTGAGGAATGGTGAATGTAATAGGAATTATCACTAGTTAAAGTCTGGAAAGAAAGACGTTTGTTTCAAAAGGAAAAACAGAACAAGGTCTGTCACGTCACAGTAGCTTTACAGATCATCAGTTTGTGAAGGCATTTGGCAAACTTATCACCAACCATCTTTCTTTAAAAACTCCTTTAGCTTTAAARCTAAAGTTTTGCAATGTTTACAATATTTCTGTACTCTCAAGAGCTGGTGGCACCAGGGCATCTCTGGCATCCCATGCCTATGAAAGCRGAGTGCCTTGAGGGAGTGAGTTCAGTTCTGCAGTCCTCTAAGGATAAAACAAGCATTACACTTCATAAAAGTGTATTTGGAGTGTAACATCTTCCATGGGGTTTGTCAAGGTCAGACATCTCAGCTCTAGAAGCAACATGCTCTGCCTAGAAACCTCCCCTTGTAGCCTTCCCAAGCTTTGAAGAATGCAAAACTTGTCAGGCCTATTGCAACAGTGCAATAAAGAATTCCACTTTTAGTGGAAAAATGTCAAAGGACTGTATTTGATTTTCTTTTTTATATCAACCAGCTTTCTGAATCACTATGGCAAGAGAARAAACGCGCAAGGAAATGAAAATAAACCCCTATGTGGAATATAGTTGTATGGCAAACACAAACTTCATGCAAGCCTGAAAGAAAGGCAGCCGTGCTCTGTGGGAGGAGGTACAGGTCTGGGCTGGGAGAGCAGCAGCGACAGAGCAGCTTTGGCAAATTCCTGCACTACAGACAGCTCTTACCATGAAAATCAATCAGGAGCCCAGAGCCACTTCCAGATAGAAGCAGCCTYTAACTTTGGACTCTGTGCAGTCAGTTTGTGCAGTGAGTGAAGCAGCATCCTCTCAACAGCTTCTTCCCCCAAGCCCTCCATCCCCAACTCTGCACCTCCAACACCAATCCACACCACATACCTCAGGCGGCACCTGCAAGGAAAAAGGGATAGTTACTTGTTAGTTGTCCTAGGGCTATTTCTTCTCACTGCTCTTTTTAGAGGCTCCTTCCACATACTGGTTAATATGAAGGCCAGTATCAGAGCCAGATGAGATTGCTCCAGACCTTCCCCAGCCTGGCTTTGAGTATCTCCAAGAACAACATTCCCTCCCCTCCCTGGGCACCCGTTCCTGTGCTTGCCTATCTTGGTGGAGGACATTTTTCTAAACATCTAAGTGGAATTCTCCTTGCTGCAGTGTGTGGCCAGCTCAACTCTGCTGAGTTTTAGTGGAAAGTCTGCTCTTGCAGAGGACTGTGCAGAGCACCACAGGGATACCTCTGTCCAGGCCTCCAGGCTTCTTCTCCTGCTAGGCTGCAGAGCAGGGAAGCAGCTAGGAACTGCACCGCCCCCTTTGCAGGGTGGGCTCTCCTTTCCTTCCCTTTCCCCCTTGGGTACACGTACTGCCCTACTTGCCTCATAGATCGCAAAGCCAATAGTGTGCATGTCCTCTCCCATCTTCCTCTGCTTCCTGCGGTGCTTCTGAATGAGGCCGATAAGGAACGTGCAGCCCTTCTCAGGATCATCAGGATCCCCGTCTTCTTCCTCCAGCTTGATTAAGTACTGCGGATTCATCCAGAAAGTGTCTGGGGAGAGAAGTGGATTTGCACAAATTGTTCAGAGCCGCCTTTGAGAGCAAACCACATCCCTGACGTGAATCCACCAGCTAGGACAGCTGCAGCTCTGACTTCCAAACTGATGTATGAGAAGGGAAAACTATCACCATGTCCAGCCTCCATCTTACCAACTACACCTAAACCCTCTATCRGGGAGCAACATTTACAAAGCACTTGTATTTCTGGACATCAGTCCCAGATATCCCAGGTGAATATCCTCCTGGATAGGGCACTCCAAATAAGTGAGTGCAAAGATACCAAGTTTGTGCTGATACTGTGGAAGGGACAGGGCTCCCAAAGTCAGGCAATTCTGACCCAAGAGATTCTGGGTGCAGGTGTGCAACCCCACGTTTCTAAGGTAACGCAGTTGGAATAAGGATTTCCACACGGACTGTAGCAGCAGCATGTTCTTACCTGGATAATTCCTGCAACCCCCTGCAGTGGCTCCTCGCCTCCAGTTCCCATCCAGCTTCATCAGACTCCACTTCTTGTACTTGTCACTTGTCAGGGTGTCTGGAGTCAAATTGCAGATCTCCAGGCGGGAGTAATGTCTCAGAAAGTCATTGAAAGCCATCCTGTGGGAAGCAGTGCCACAGAAAACATCCACTTACGGTTCCTTTATAAAACCATCTTTTCTCTCTTCCTTCTCTAACTGTGTGGGTTTAAAGGTTTTTTTTTTTTTTTTGAAATCAGATCTTTCATCTTTAAGAGTCTGATGGGAGAAGGTACTTCATGTGAAAAAAAAAAAAAGAGAAGGAGAGGCCAGTTCCTTCAGATCAGGTGGAAACCCAGGGCTTCTTACCAAAATTCCCCATCTTCATGTCTCCTGGTCAGCTGCTCCCGCACCGCAGGGTCAACGCCATTCCAGTTGGGGCAGCTGAAACACAAACCCACATTAGCCACATAACAGCAGAAGGTGAATCCTGATGGAGCTGTTCTGGCACCGGGATTTCGTCTTCTGGCTGTTGTACGTGACTGCAGTGTTCCACAACACCTAGCTGGTAGCAGCTCCACAGTCTTCGAACCACCAAAGCATCATTAAGATGGAGGGAGGTGGGATATTCAATGCTTTGTATTTCAAATACCCAAGATCAGCATCAGAAGGAGAGTCTTTTTGTTTTGGAAAAAGGAAGGCCTGGTAGTGACCACCAGCTGAATCACCGCACCCGACACAAGGGCAGGTTTCTGTGTGAGGGACACTGTGAAGCCTACACAGGAGATGGTGGTGCTGGTGTGACTTGAACAGCTCCGAGCACCACCACACGAGCAGTGTGCACAGAACACACCCAGATGCGACCTGAACAGGAATTTGAGGCCAGGAGCACATGGAGCACGGCAGGAACCCACCCGCACCTCGTGGAATGTACCTGCTGGCCACACGCAAACCATCGACTCACTTGTCGTTCCACTTCCCAGTCCACTCCACTTCCCCCCAAGGATTGCGGATTCGGATGAGCTTTTGCAGGCTGCCTCTGAAGTTCACCTGATGGGTGAGAAGGGGGTGTGAGTTACCCAGGGGCTCCGTATACAAACACAAACCCCCGCTCGCTCATCTGGGCCAAAACGAGGAAAGAAAACCTAGAGACAGGCCAGGCTCCCATGCCTTTTCATGCCACACCCCTGCAAAAAATCCATGCACAATAGAAAATGCAAGGAAGCCCCCTGGCAAAAATACCACCCAAAAACAACCCCTCAGGAGGCGTCCGTGGGGCACGAGCAGCGCCCGCACCTCAAGACCAGACGCAGAGGCCGCTGTGAAGGCCCCAGCGCAGAGAGGCCGACCCCGTTGCCCCACACCCCCCCCATGCAAAGCCCCACCAAGGCACCCAACCCTTCCAACAGCCCGTGAGGAACAACCTCCGAAAAGGCAGAACCCGCCGCCCAGACACGCTCGAGGGCTGTGCGGACCGAACGCGCAGGCCCCTCCAGGGCCTCGACGCCAGCAGAGGGCACAAGTGACACGTGTGTTCGCCCAGGGCTGAGACCCACACGCTAAATCACTGCCCCCAGGAGGAGGGGACAGAAAAGGGGATTCTTTGAGAAAGAGCGGGCTGGGGAGCAGAGGGCGGCTCGGAGGGCGCCGCGCGGCCGTCCCCCCGGCCGGGCCTGCTGCGTGTGCCCCGCAGCGCAGCGCTCACCTCTTCCGCGCCTGTCACCGAGTACGCGTGTCCCTTGACCAGCTTCTGGGAAGTGACGGCCTCCGTCTCGGCCGCGCTGGAAATCTGGAAGTGCCGAGAGAGGCCTCAGCGYGAGCGGCCGCCGCGAGCCCGGGCGCCTCGCGGGGCTCCCCACGCGGCTGCCGAGGGCGCCCAAGGCATCCCGAGGGGAGAGACCGGCCTAGGAAACGCCACCAAGTCATGAGCTCAAACATATTCCACCCTCCTCAAAATGCTTTTCCCCATGTGAAGCTTCCTTCTCTTCTAACCCTGATTTGACTTTAAAGGTGGGAGGAAATATTTGGGTGTGTATTTTGAATGGAATTCTCGTAAAAATGTCTCAGAATTTACTTTCCCTTTGAGTGTAGCTAAGATCTAATCTCTGCTGGGAGTACAGGGAGTATCACAGCAAAAGCCATTAGTGGCAGCTTGCTTTCCAAAAAACGTATAGCCTGTGCCACCTTACTGCCAAGCTTCAGGCTGCACTTAGAGCAAAGATGTAAATCAGGATCCCTAGTGAATTCCTTGAAGTTTTTTATCACTTATGAAACAGCAAAAAATTCAGGTTTTGAGGAAGGCAAAACAAATAAGAAAAAAAGGCATTGGGTGTTTACACGTCAACTGCTGAAGTTGGGGATTCAGCCTCTTCTTGGACATAGCCCCCAAAGGAGCACATGCCTCTGTTACTCTCTTGGGTCAAAATTTCCACTCAGGAGGCAGAGCAGAGACCTGATCTTCACAAGACAAAAGCAGATGGGGGAAAATCCTGTGTGCTGCAAAGCACCSGAGCAAAGCACCAGGTCGCTCTCCCTGCCTGGGGGTACCTGACATCAAGGTCACAGTATCCAGCAACAGGCCGGACTAACTCACGTCAATAGAGCAGCCGAGGAGAGAGCCTTTCTGGAGAGCCTTCTGAATGATTCTGAAGAGGTTGGGTGGTGCCTTCTGCAGCTCATACCATTCTGCAATCCCGCCAGTGAAGTCCTCAAAGCCTTCAGTGGTGGTGCCCCCAGAAAGGGCCTCATAGGAGCCATTCAGCCTGCACAAAAGGGGACACACACACACACAGAGCCATCAGTTTCCCTCATGCCCTCTCCTCTGGCTGCAGATGCTGTGGGAAGCACAGGCACGAGGAGACGGGCAGGGAAGAAGGCAGCCCTCTCCCAGGCTTACTTGGCATAGGCCTTCTCCAGCAGGGCGCTCCAGAACTCGCTGCCCTCYGCCGAGTGCACGAAGAGCAGCTCGCCGTTCTTGGTGGGCAGCCGGTCGTCCACCACAACGTCCACCCACTCCCCGTACTGCCAGAACTGCAAGGAGAGCGGGAACGCCTCAGGACAGACCCTTGGCATGTGCCCAGCTCACGGGGACAAGCTGCGAGCTGCAGCTTAGCCTGCACTGTACGGAAATCCCTGTTGTCAGTCGGATCTGCCGATGGAGGAAGGATCACAAAGAAAGCCTCTGCTCCTGGCATTTCTCTTAGCAGGTGCTTTTCCTTCCACCCCCATTCCCCTTCTTGTACTACTCCATTTTATGCCACCTGGCTCTTTGTTTCCCCTCAAAACATGCCACCCATGTAGGTCTGACTTGCCAGAYGTAGATCCCGGGCTAACAACACTCAGGGGAAAGGCAAGAGCCACTCCTCCACATACCTGGAAGTGGAAGATGCCGGCATAATTTTCCTGGAAGCTCTGATCTTTGGGAACGACGCGGGCAAGAATTTCTTCATTGAGGGTGAGAGATGCGATCGCTGCTAAGAGCCAACAGTCTCCTGTAGAAAAGATGTGCACCAGAAAACACTAATGGTTTTGGAGACCATAGGGATTATGCATTATTACTTGTATATTGATGGTCAAAACTTCTAAGGTGAGTGCTCACTTCTCAGAAATGCATCATCTCAGCTATTTCAGAAGATGATCCCTCTCATCAGTGTCCCTTCTAAGGCAGATCAGGTGCATGTGCACAACTATTTGWCCAAAAGGGGAGGGGGAAATGGGCTTTCTATGACCAGTCAGTACAGTTATCACCCATGCTTCCACTATCTGAAAGAAAAATTAATATTGAATTAAGTACCTACAGGTTAGGAAACAGCATGGGGGGAAAAGGCAAAGAGCAGGACCTATGGACACATGCAGGAACTCCAGATGTGCAGTTTCCTCTCACAGCACCAATATTTTGACACRCACAGAGTGTTTTCCTTTCTCCATGTTTCATAAGTGCTTACTGACTTGCAGTGCAGAGGTTGTCCTAGGGACCAGCTCTCAAAGTTTTCTYGCAAAACTCCTACCAAATAAGAGCTCCTTTGATTCTGTTTCTCCGAAGGCACCAGCCAGGGGCCTCCTGAGCTAGTCAAACATCCAGTCTGTGGCACTGGCCCGGCACGAGGAGAGGCCTGAAGGCAGGCTCTGTTCCCCAGCCCCACACACCTCTGCTGCCTTGGTGGGGCTCAGCCCACATGCAAGTCTGTGTGTCTCAACACCTCAGGACGAGCTGCCTGGCTTGTATTTTTCCACATCGTCTGTTACAAAGCACAGGGAAAGGAGACTGCAGCTAYACAAACATTACCTGTGTTTTTGGTAATTATTAAAAGAAACTGATGTTATTTTAGCAGYATGATTAGCTTTCTGCTCAGACACGTACCTCCTGTGACACATAAGGCGACTAGAGATTAGAGCTGATCCCCAGCCTCCCACACCCCATAGCAAGACACTGTGTGTCGAGGCTCCTTGTCACCAACAGCCTTGCCCTGTAAAGGCAGGAATTTATATGTCAGCCTTTTCCTTTCTCGCAGGGGGCTGATGCTCGGAATAATCCTGCAGGGYGTGTTTCAAGGAACATGAGCCAGAGGCCAGCAAATCCATGGGCCCTCTATCACCGCTGCCTCCCTAGGGGGAAAGGGGAAAATCTCGCAAAGGAAAAGTTTGGCTTCAAGGGGAGGCTCTAAGAAGGTCTCGGGGAGCACGAGCTCAAGCGCTGCTCTCGTGGCACTGGGTTTGAGCCTGGCGTGCTCCCCACGGTCGGCGCTGGGCAGAACGTTAGCAACTTGCAGCTCCCTCCAGGTTCCCCATCCCTTTTGCAGCCCATGGGGTGACGTTTGTGCCGTGGCCCTTTGCACACCTCTAGAAAGGCAGGAGATCTGGAATCTCACAAGAATTTTTCATACCCAAGGTGCTTTTACTATTCCATAACCTAGAGGGGAAGAAATGAACACAAAGCCCTCCCTTCAGCCTTACATCTGGCTACTTATTTATATTAATAGAAAGTAGAGTTCTTTTTCTTTTTCTTTTTCTTTTTCTTTTTCTTTTTCTTTTTCTTTTTCTTTTTCTTTTTCTTTTTCTTTTTCTTTTTC